TTGATGTCTATTGCTATCTTGTAATGTAAAAATTACAGTAGCCTATGCATACCTGAAGGTAAAAAAGATTTTTTCCTATAACATATAGCATTAATTTATGACAAAGAGATTAAAGGAAGTATAAAGGGCATGTATTTTGAGTTACAGTGAAAAGGTATAATCTTAATAGCCTACCCTTCATAATAAAGAGGACTAGATACTGCACTTAACATAAAACTATTGACAGTATGTGACCTAGTATTTCAGATTTGATCATTTCCTGTGTTGTGATTAAAGTTGAAAATGGAAGGTGCAGGTTCATCTCAATAAAATTTGAACATTGTGAAAATTTTAATTTTTTCCTGTAATTTCATTCAAAAATATATTTATTATTATATTTTAGATTCATTACATATAAAGTGAAATATTTCAGGCCTTTTTTGTTTTCATCTTGATGGTTTTGGCTTACAGTTCATGGAAATCAAAATCCATATCTCAAAATATTAGAATAAAGAATGTAAATACAGAAATGTCGACCTGAGAAGAGCGTTTAATCTCTCCATCTGGTTCAGTACACATGACCCCCTCTACGACGAGGGTAGGCTACAGAAGGTCATTGCTGAAAGGGCTGGCTGTTCACAGAGTGCTGGATCAAAACATACCCATGGAAAGTAGACTAGGTTGAACACTAACGCCCCCTGTACCGGCAGCAGCACATGATCTCACAAACCTGCTGACTTACTTTTGACGTTTTTGCTTTTTTGTGCATGTAACAGGTTTGCAAGTGAAAAAGCCCAAAGTCCAGCCCAAAGGGAGTTCCCATCTCCCACAGAAAACACTGCTCTCAACTGCTTGAAAACAGCTAGTTTGTAGTCCAGACGTTTCCCTGAAAGCTAAATGGGCCTCATATAACTCTCGCCAAGCGGCTACTCCGATACACCCTCAAAAAGACCTGTGGAAAAACACTGAGCTGCAGCACACACCTCCTCTATCTTTCAAACACTAGCTACCCTCCAGGCAGTCAGTGGACATAAATTGTTCCTGTGATGTAGAGACAGAGCTCAGTTAAAATTTTATGGATGAAAGATACATTTGTTACAGATTAATAACTCACCACTCTGAAACTCTTGCTCCAGTCTATGTTGCCAAGCTGGTCGGCAACATGTACAGCTGAAACGAAACCCTGTTTACGGCTTCTCGCTGTCCCGCTCTTCTCTGCTTCTGATTGGCTAGTAGCTCTTAACTAGGAACTGCGCATGTGCAACTCCCAACAAAGATCATTTAAAGACAAGATGTATCACTCCGTAGCTAAAATGAAGCCTTCAACACAGGGTGAAAAGAGGAGCTGCAGTATGAATAGTATATAGTATAGTATGTATGTAGTATGTATGAAAAAAAAATGTTTTTTTGAAATTTAAATGTAAACCTGTTCTGGTACAACCCCTAAATAGGATTTTGAAAATGAGCATAATACTTTAAGTAAAAAAATCTGATGATTTGTTGCTCGGAGTATTGGTGGGTGCTGGGAACTGTTCCTGCCTTCTCTCGCCTTTTTCTGCAGAGCAGGAGAAGTGCCGTTTTGGAACACATGGTCTTTTGTGCCATTTGGTGGCCGACCCGTAGGAGCTACATAGACATCCAGGGTATCAAATGAAAGGTCTGCTCAAGCCAGATCAATCACTGTGGGATGTTCTGTTCTCTAGCTACAGGCCTGTAAAGCATGGGTGTGCTTTTGATGACACGAATGTTGATGAATATTTACTGTATTTCAATGTTATGTTATTTGGAACGTGGTTGTATGGACATAAATACTGTTTTAAAGATAACTCACAATAAAAGTAAACATTTAAACAGTAGAAATTGCCAAAATATGGACATTTGCCTGGTATATTTTGAAAATTATGTGTGATAACTGTTGTATTTTAGTTTGTTTTCATCAAATTTACAGTTACAATTACATCCCATGTGTATTAAAATATATTCAATAGCATTATAATCTATCTTATGATGGTTTTGATGGTTTATTGCATTAAATATAGCTTTTTTTTTTACCTGTAAATAGGGGCAAATAGCTGGAAGTTTCTGTTGACAAGCTTTATGAAGAAGCTGATTTCCTTTTCCAGCAGGACTTGGCACCTGCCCATGGTACCAAAACTACTAGTAACTGGTTTGCTGACCATGGTATTACTGTGCTTGGTTGGCCAGCCAACTCGTCTGACCTGAACCCTATAGAGAATCTATGTGGTATTGTCAAGACGACAATACAATACACAACATACAACAACATAACAGACGAGCTAAAGGCCGCTGTCAAGAAGACATTTCTGTATTACACATTCCTTATTCTAATATTCTAATTTTTAAGATATGGATTGAGATCCATGGATGGATCCATGAGCTGTAAGTCATAATGATCAAGATTAAAACAAAAAGGGCTGAAATATTTCACTTATGTGTAATGAATCTAGAATATATGAAAGTTTCACTTTTTTGAATTTAATTAAGAGGAAAAACCCAACTTTTTTTAATTCTAATTTTCTGAGATGCACCTGTATGTGAAAAAAATAAATCATATCCCCTCATAAATTTAACCCTTCAGATTCTCCGGTGAGTCAATGGCCCCTTTCTCCCTGTCCTCCAGACTTCACATTTCACCAACAAATTACTCCATAAATTGACTAACATAAAGGAAAACTATCTTTTTCTGGGGGAAGATACACCCTGGTTAGGTTTGGTTTCCCGATTTAGGCTTTGATGTCTGGAAGTACGCTGATTAACCATTCTCATTCATTTTTAACCTTGATTATTTATGTTTTTTTGTCTACATGCTTTCAAAATGTGAATTTGGCAGCTGAACCTTTTAAACAAAATTCATGAGGGTTGAGGATTGGGTAATGTCTCTCCAAACTAACTTAAAAGGTGGCAGCTCTATTAATATGTGACCAATGAAGGTAAACCTTCGTTGGATAACTATGACCTGGATGACTGAGAATCTCCATAGACATCTATTAATATGTGAACAAGATGTTTATTTGTACTGTTCCAAACTGACACTCAATGAGTAACCTTGGAGAAAAAGAAAAGCTTTATGTTTTATATCATTTAAATTAGGAATATTGTGTACAATCACATGCCATCAAAGAGTGGAACATTAAAAGCTCAAAATCTGAGCGTCTTTTCAGTAAATAAATCCTTTGCGCCAAATCACCAGCTGACGGCAAGAGGATTCACTGTAACCTACTTCCGTTTTCGATTTAATACCATTATTTAACCCGCGAAAATACTTCTATAGTTATTTTGAAAGTTTCACCAATACTTGTGGTGCAACTTGGTATAAAACAGCGGACTTGGCTAGCACGGTCCTTACTGCAGGTAGGAGATACAACCTGCTGTCTGGTGAAGTCTTTCCGAATCCGTCAGGACTTGAAAGCAGCGCACGCAGCGCGTCACGTGCTTGTGCGGGTGGGGGCGGAAGTGGAGCTCTTGTCTTCCTTTCCCATCCCACCCCACCTTCGCTCGGATACTGAATGGAACTGGTAAGACAAAACTCTCCTGCTTCAACTTCTTCACTGCGGCCTCGTTGTAACTCTCGGTGACGCTGGAAGCTGTTTACGCGCTCTGTTTGTCTCATGTCCCTCCTGATCCACCAGGCTCAGCTTTCCTTTGCCTTTCTTCCATCTTTAAGCCTCATTGTCATGCAAATAGGCTATGGGATAACTTTCGTTATCATTGTCCTTGTAGATTGTAGAATGTTGCAAAGAGGCACATGCTTTATGTACTGTTCAGTAATGCAGAAGTTCCTCGTAGGATTATTTACTTTGAGACAAAGTGTGTTCTGACGGTAGAGTAAAACTTGTTCAAACTCCTCAGGCGCTGCGGAGCCCCCCCTCACTGCCTTTAACAGTCAGTCCTTCAGGACAGCAATGGATCACGCTGGAGCCACTGAGGGCCCTGGACAAGCCAGAAGACCCTCCAGTTCGTCCTCTGGGACACCCATGGGTGCCGAGGGACAAACAGCACAGAGGCCCAAAGTAAAGATAACTCCCTTCCACAGCTCACCCATAGCCAGTAGTGATGGAGGTCATCGCAGCAAACGATCAGGAGCAGTTTTTGGGAAACCACTGGCATCTCCTGGCAGCCTGTTTCTGGACACACCTGGTGGGCTGACTGCTCCACCTGTTGGACAGAGACTTGCTGCTTCTGCTGCTGCTGCTGCTGCTGCTGCTTCTGCTGCTGCTGTTGCTTCGGCTTCTGCTGGGAGCCCAGAGGGACAAACTCACAGTTCAGGCACTTTATTCGCCACTACAGGAGAAAAAACACCTGTTGTCAAGGTAAACACACATACTGATGAGTGTTGTATAGCACTTTTTAAAATTAATTTCTGTTATAATTTTTAAACGCCAACCACAAGTTGGAAATCTCAGTGATAACATGAGAAAGGAAGACAGAAACAATACTGATGGAGAAATCTGTGTGGATGGACTAATAAATTGTAAAATAAAAAAGAAGGTTGGAAGAGTGCTCAGTAAGGGAAAACCTCCAGTATGGAATTTCTCAGTAAAAGGCATCAGAAAGTTAATTTTGTTAAGGTAATATAATTTGTTATTTATCTTTTATATCAATTAAATGAAAGTACAGATTATTTTTGCACATTTTCTGTTCATTTTGTGCTGGAGAGCTGCAGAGAAACATAGAAAAGTTAGAGAGAAAGAGATTGACATGCATTCCTAGGTCAAATCCAACACGCAGATCTCTCTCTCTCTCTCTCTCTCTCTCTCTCTCTCTTCAGTTTGTTGGTGGGAAATGTCAGTGGACAGCCATTTTCAGATCTCCCAGAGGTGTCAGGCTGGACCACTCTGCCTACTAATTGGAAGATGCTGTTGGTGTGTGAATGTTAATTTCTGTTTCTGATGAGCAGTTAGCATGTTACCTCTGCCATCAGTGTATGAATGGGGTGAATTTGATGTAGGATAAAAGCGCTTTGAGTGGTCGGAAGACTAGAACAGTGTTATACAAGTTACCATCTTGGCTTGGCTTGACTTGACTTTGTGCTGGGAATCATTGTCCAGTCTGAGGTCCTGAGTGCTCTAGACCAAGTCTTTATCAAGGATATCTCTGTACTTTGCTCCTTTAAGCTTTCTCTGGTTCTTCGAAGAGTCTTGGTTGTTACAAATTTCTTACATTTAACAATTATGGAGGCCACTGTGGTCTTCAGAACTGTCAATGCAACACATTTTTGGGTAGCCTTCCCTAGATGTGTGCCTCGATAAAAACCTGAGCTCTGCAGGCAGTTCCTTGGACCTCGTGGCTTCTTTTTGCTATAGGCCTAGACTGCCGGGGGATTTCCCATGATGCACTGAGCTCCTCTCTCCTCTACTTTCTCTCCCTCTGTATGCAACCTCATCCCATTATTGCATGTTACTAACACAACTTCTCCCCTTTCTGGCAGTCTTGTGCTTTCTCGTCTCTCTCCTCTCTCCTATCACTTCCTGCAGGTTTTCTGGCTCTGGAGCTGTGGAGTCTGGATCTGTGGTTGCGGGTCACCTGCTGCCCCCGTGTTCCTGCTCGACACCCTCTGCTGCAACGACTATTGTTGCTAGTCTTATTGTTATTATTGTTATTATAATCATTAACATTACGATTGTTACCATTAACACTATTATAAATATCTGTACCATTTTTCATTTAGTCTATAGCAACATCACCTTCACTGTCTGTACCTCTGTGTGTATATTGTGTAGGCTGCAAAATAACAAAATGTGTCAAAAATGCATAACTGGTATACTAACTACTGTACTAATGAATTTAAATGTAATAACTAGTTTGTTCTTGCCTTCACCTTTCTCATTTATTAAATAAATAATGAAATAGGTTTTCTTTTTTTCCTCCAAAGCCTGGAGGCAAGAAGGCCCCAAAGTCAAGCCTGATACATTCACAGATGTCTGGACCACCATCTAACACTGAGCTTTGTCACAGCCAGAAAGGCAAAGAGGGGAAAGCTGTCTTCACGTCCATGAAACCTCAGTCAGGTTGTTGATACTTTCTTTTGCACACTTTATTAGTTGAATCTAACTTTTAAAAATACCTGATGCAAAACAGGTTGCAGCAATTTGACCAATAATTCTGGTGCAATTTTTAGAAATATGTCTAGACAATTAGCTTAGCTCAACTTGTATGCAAAATACAATATCTCTCTGTTCTGTTGCATTTAAATGATTGATATTAGCAGATATTAGCATAATATATATATATATTTTCTCCCTATACTGTGTGATTGTATTTTACTATTATAAAATAGCTAAAATTCTGATAAAAGTCTCATACTCATCTTTTGATCTTAAACCCAAATGTCTTCAGTGAACAACAAAAAACAAAGGAATTTGCCTTACCGTTCTAATACTTTTGGAGGGGACTGTATGCTTTTTTAAAGCTTTTGTTGTTTTACTGGTGGTGTTGTGAGTTACAGCCCATTAATGTCAAGGTTTCATTGATGAATTAAATCATGTAGTAACATGTTTTCCATGCAGTAATAATCAGTTTTTAAAGTACACGCTTGGCCCTTTGATGTTACATGTAGTCTCAAAGGTGAATTTTGAGGTATTATGTCCTCATGATGACTTCTGGCCTCCATGTAACCTCACTCTGTGTGCCCTTCTTAGCTGTGAAGAGGAAGAAGAGGAAGATGGGAATGTACAACCTGGTCCCCAAGAAGAAAGCCAAGGCCCTTAAACAGCAGGAGAAGGCAGGTCCACTTATTTATTCATGTGTGTCAGACCTCCTGTCAGTAACCCAGAAGAGCAAATTAATGCCTCAAACAACATGTTCACTTTTGCATAAAATTATGTTTATAAACCAGAGGCAGCATTGATCTGTTATTAGGAGGTAGTATACATCAATCTTTCTACCAGCTGGCTCAGTAAAAGAAATAAAATAAACCCCCCATTGCATACTTGGATACTTGATAGTCATAATATCTGTTTCATACATTCACACCCTTGCTTTAGTTCACATAATGCCACTATATATCCACTATGTGCAGCCACTAGATCAACGGAGGCAGAAAAGAAAATCTGAATCTGCACTTATCTATCTATTAATCTTTATTTCTATTTCTATCTTTTATGGAATACTAATACATACAAATGTCATTCTGTGTTTTAATCAGAAAGAGCAGCCAGGAGCCTGCGTGGAGAAGAACCCAGCTGTAGCAGAGGAGAAGCCAGTAATTCTACCAGAGACTCTGAATACTGTCAGAAATGAAATGCTGCTGGAGGTTGAACCTGGAGATGGCAGCCATGTTGAATACACTGAGCTGGCTTTGGACTATCTGGACCTTAAAGCTCAGGAAGAGCTGCTCTTACCCCCCCTGTCAGGTGATAAGAGCATCTCATTGACTCTGTTGGCTTCGTAACATAGATCTAAAGTTATCATGTCCCATTTCTCTTCTACAGAATACAATTTTATAGTCCACTGGTCTGTTTCTTGGTGTGATGTGTGGTGAAATAATGTGATGTGTGTGCGCAGGTGTAGCAGCAAATGCTGAGGTGACAGAAACAGACTTGGCTGAGGAGTTACCGCTGTGCTGCTGTCGGATGGAGACTCCTCACAGTGTAGGCAGCCTGTCCACACTGGATCAGACCTGCATGGCCATGGAGAGCATGGATGGAATGGTAAACTCTGATGTGTCACTTTGATTTTGACATTTTATTAGTATGCCATGTGTGATTTCGAGTGGAATTGCCTTTTAAAGCCCTTTGTACGAGGGTAATCCTTATTGGTATACGTTTCAGTGGAACAGTTTTAGCTGTTTTTCATTCTGGAATCCCAAGGATAGCCCTGAAAGGAAAGCACTGAATATTTGTGATCAGATTAAAAATCAATGTAATCTGTTGCTGAGTAAGGTTAAGAGGAGTCTAAAAGCACCAATGGTAGTCGAAACCTATTGCTTTTAATGTTATAACAGTATGTTAGGTTATTTTTATAAACGGCTCCTTCATTTCACTCCACAGCTGAGTCGTTGCCAGAGGCGTGTGATGAAGCAGGAAATGATGCGACCCTCGAACACGGTCCATCTGCTGGTTCTGTGTGAGGACCACCGGGCTGGCATGGTCAAGCACCAGTGCTGCCCTGGCTGTGGACTCTTCTGCAGGGCGGTGAGGGCAAACGAAGCACTCTGATACTATAGACACATGGAGACCTGACATTAGAACCATACTGTACATTATTTTGAACCAGGATATCAGTGGTAATCTATGGGACAATTCTAAATAGAAGTCATAACCAAGACTGGGCAGAGGGATGTATTTCTGTTTCTAGTAGGTTATTTCTTATTTCACCTCTTTAATTTAACTTCATTCTCCACCTTATTTTAGTATTTTAGTGTTTACTCACTACTTGAATCTGCTCACCTACAGTTCTCTTTTCCACGCACTCACACACACACACACACAAACCTAAATAAGTCTATATGTGAGAAACACTCCCATATCCATCCCCCTCTCATCTCCTTTTCCTTATCCTCTTTCTCTGTGTGCTCTTCCTCCTCTCTCTTTTCACTCTCCACCCTCCCTCATAATGTAAAGCAGTGATTCTCAACGAGGGGAACTTATCTCAAGGTGTACTTAGGCAGTTGTCAGGGGCTACATGGACAGATTGTGCAGTAGCTCAAATAATACGAACTTTTGATTTGATTAAAAATATATATAGACAGCCCAAGTAATTGGAAACAGTCAGAATTTTCAGGTAAAAGTAATGATTAAATACACCCCGTTATGGAGGGCTAAAGATATTGGATAAATGTTCCAACTTAAAATGCCCCCCCATAAGTTTCCCCCACATTGCTGGTGGTGGCATTGCGGCCCCAGTTGCAAGGTTGCCAGACTGAGCTTGGATACTGCAGTTCTTGACCTTCAATAGTTCTCCTGTTCCATCCCACAGGGCACCTTCATGGAGTGCAGGCCACATGGCAGCATCTCCCACCGCTTTCACCGCGACTGTGCCTCCATTTTGAAGGATCTCAAGTTTTGCCCCCACTGCGGAGAGGATGCCAGCGGGGCAAAGGAGATCACAATGTTAAAGGCTGCACCGTCACCCTCTGTACCCAGATCCAAGCCCGGGCCATCACTTCCAGCTGTTCCCACTGTAGCCACCCTGCCATCCGTACCAACCACGCCTGCTGTTCCACAGATACTCAGAGCTAAGAAGACCAGCAAGCCACAGAGGAGCAGAGATGAGAGCCCGAGCAGGTACCACAGGACTGACGCTGCTTATCTAACGTCATCTCCTCATATTGAAATCTCTACACTCACAATTAAATGACAGTTCATGTTAATTACAACTGGGGTAAAATAAAACTCTTACTGCTTGCTTTTTCTCTGCAGTTTAGAGGGCGAGGCTGTGTGTGCTGCAGATAGAGTACCTAAAGAGTCACTGGAGAATATTCTAATGGCACTGGATGATGAGAAGTAAGGTTCACCATTTAAATATTTTGTTTTCAAAAAAGTGCAGTGTGGGGCAACAGTTTGCACTTTGATAATTGATTGAGACCTTTTATTCTTTTTAGCCTGAAACCAAAGAAAGTGAAGTATCCAACTAGACAACTGTACATCTCTGCAAAACAAGGAGAGCTCCAGAAGGTCATTCATCTCCTAGGTAACTCAAATATGTTATTTGACATAAAACGGCTTCAGTTACAATTAAAGCTGCAAACAGCGATGAACGGGCCCTTGCGCCTTCATGCGTGTCGGGGCGTGCCATGCGTGCCTGGTCCCGAGGTTGGTCTGAATGTGGCGCTAGGCACAACTTTTCATCGCCAATGTCTTTACGATTATACTGCGATCCATTCATTCTGTGGGAGTTAAAGTATGGAGCCTGTAAAATGGCGAAATTTGCTCATTCAGTTCAAAATAGCTGACTTCTTGTTAGGCTTATCGTATGGCTCCAAGAGGCTTTTTTTTGTGTCTTGGGATGATACGGGTCTGCCACAAATCTTTTGTGCATCTAGGTGAAGGGTAAAGCTGGGGCTCCTTCATTAAAAATCTGTAGGGGCCGCTATGGTGCTATTTTGCCACACCCATGCTTATATCAGACATAAACCTTTGCCACTTCTGACATTTGTACAAAGAGTTTTTGAGCACCTCTAGGGCCTCAAATGTGATCCATTTGCGAGAAGAAAAAGAATAATAATTCCTTGCAATTTAATAGGGTCCTTGCACAATTTGTGCTTGGGCCCTAATAACTCAATGTATCTTTTTTAGCATTTGCATTATCACACTAATAGAACAAACTTTGTACATTACAGTTGCTGGGAAGGACCCCAACTTTTCGATGGAGGGCCAAAACAGAGGCACCCCCCTTCATGCAGCAGCTGCTGAGGGTCACCAAGAGATCTGCCACATGCTGGTCCAGGTGAGGAGATTACAAGACAGGCCTAATACAAAAGGCTTTGTAAATATTATGACATTTAAGCTTTTATTATCTTTTATTTTGACCTCATATTTTTAAATACATTACCTTTGTCTACACACGTCCAGTACTGTGCAAAGGTTTTAGGCAGGTGTGTAAATAACACATGGTAGCTTTGCTTTAATCTTGAGAAGCTGCAGTCTCTATTTACTGTAATTTACACTGTACATTTCCAGCTAAACTGAAGCTTATTGTTGGCCATTTTCTCTCTGCTCGCCTGCCAGTCACTGGTCTGCAGAGTTATGCGTGCATGTCGCAGCGCTGTTTTTATTCCCCTATCTATCAAGTCGGCGAAAGTCAGCCAGTTATCTCGAGCGCACCTGTAGACTACTAGTTATACAGCGTGGTAACTTCGACAGCTGTTTTCCAAAGTTAACATAGCTATCCTTATTAGCTAGCAACAAAAACAGGCAAAGGTGAATGGTGTAGCCATGGCAAAAGCCAGCAGTTGCCTGCTTGTAATGTCTCAGGTAATGCAAACAGGTCCACTTCTGCTGTGCAATATTTGCCCCATATTTCCTCTACCACCCCTGGGTGGAGTCTCCACTCCCCAGCGGGAGGCGTCTGGCGGGAGAGGTAGCCACCACGTTCTGTTGTCCTGGCAAGTACATGGCCTTGAGGCTGGCCAAGCGGGAGAAAGCCCATACCAGGAGTCGCCATGCGACCTGTAGCGACGTGGCCGACCTGGTGCCTCCTTGCCGATTTACATGGTAGACAGCTGATGTGTGTCGGATCGAACAAGAACATGCCTGCCTCTCCAATGTGGCAGGAACTCGTCCAGCGCCAAACCGATAGCCCGCTGCTCAAGCACATTTATATGCTCCATCCTTTCCTGGCTCGTCCAGAGGCCACTCACTGCCCTGTGCTGCCACGCTGCCCCCCACCCTGTGGGCGACGCGCCGGTTACCACTACCTCCTAACGCGATGGGATCAAACCCAGTGAGATGCCCTTGGACAGATATGCCCCATCTCTCCATGGCCGTAACACTAGTAGGCATCGGGAGGACACCCTGACTCTCTTGGATCTGTGTAATTGCGGATCTGAATGGAGGCCATTGATCCAAATTTGGAATGGTTGTAGGCCCAGTGGCACCACTGATAGAGGTAACAGAGGTCAACATACCCATCAACCTGAGAAAAAGGCTGTACCTCAACCTCCTGTCCCTCTGGAAATTACGGAGAAGCTGGAGTGTGGCCTCTCCCCGCCGTGAAGTTGGGAAGGCCAGCATGTGACAGGAGTCCAGGGTTAATCCAATGAACACCACCCTTTGGCTGGGTATCAGACAGCTTTTGGCGTAATTGACGGTAAGGCCCAACCTTGTCACATGACATAGAAGGGAGGCAGTGTCCTGCTCCACCTGTTCCCCCCTCAGAGCACATATAAGCCAGTCGTCCAGATATGGGAGGATCTGCATACCACTGGCTTGCATCGGGGCCAGTGCTGCCCGCATGCACCTCGTGAAGACCCTTGGGGCTAGGGAAAGCCCGAATGGGAGCACCTTGAACTGATGGGCCACGCCTTTGAATGCAAAGCGCTGTCTCAGTAGGGGTGTAGGCCCCTGAAGGCTAGCAAACTGCTGCCTAGTTTGTTTAGCCTGGATTCCCCGCTCCAAAGCCTGCTGCGCTGCTGGGCCGAACAGCTCCCCTGGTACTACAGGGAGAGTGCGTAGGGCCCTCCTGCCTTGCTCCAAAAGCGGTGATTGGGCCAGCCAGACCTGGCGACGAGCCAAGGTAAGTGTTGCCATTAGCCTACCAAGCTCTCTAGTCATAAGGGCAAACGCCTGCAAAGCTGCATCACTGAGGCTCTGGACGGAGGATTGCACAGACTGGGACAGAGCTAATATAAGGTGGGAAAAAGAGTTTCCAATACGGCCCATACGTGCCGCTGTATCATAACCTCTCACCAGAAAGTCATCCGTAATGCAACACTGCGGCCTAGGACAGCGAGCATCCGGTCTCAACACTTCAGTGGGTGACACAATGAGGGACGCGATAACTGGCTCCACAGCCGGCATCTGGCCCAGCCCGTAACTGCTGGCATTCTGCATGGCAACCAAGGCCCTGCCGTCAGTTGTATGGTGAGAAAAAGCCTTGGGGTCTGGCCAGCATTTGTGGAGCTCCTCAATGTATGGCTGGGAAGGTGGCACAGAAAAACCCGCCTCAGGTGGGAGATGCCTAAAGAATGCACTAGCTGTGGTACCTGCAATTGGTGCTTCATCCAAGCCCAAGCGTGCCAGTGCCATACGGACCACTGACTTAATTGTAGCATGGGCAGCCTCTGAGCCTGCTCTGGACCCGCTCCCCGTCTGCCGGTGTCAGAAGCACGGGTGGAAGCCTTCACTTCTCCCTTCCCAGGTCTGTCCTTGCAGAGCTGGCTGCAGGAAGCCCTTGTAGACAGGGCATCGTCATCCAATCCTTGAGGGGTGGGGCTCCCGGCTGGGCTGTCCACACTGCTTGCAGCCCCCCTGCCTGGCTGAAGGTTAAGGAGCAACCCCTTAATCTCAGCGAATTCTGAGGCTAGTGTGTCTACCTTGGCTGCCAAACCATCCACCTTCTTGGCTTGCTTTCTAGGGGGAGCACCTGAAAGCGGGGTGCGATTATGTCTACTCCGCACCTGTGAGGCCACACCAGATGAAGGTGTTACGCCCCTGTAAAAGGGGAAATAGAAAGTACGACACGGACACGATGTAGCGTCAGTCAAGTCCAATGTTGTAATGGACGAACGTAAGCCACACGTTCCATACACAGGCTGAATGAGGCATGAGCAATCGTGAACAGATCCTCCAATCACAAACTAGTACTTAAAACTATACGTCAAAAAGAAAGTTAAGCTTATGTAAACAATCAAACACTGCATATTGTTTCTTAAGATGCATTTCCCCAAATTGATATAGAAGTTAAATAAAAAAAAGCATTTTAAATATAGATCGTCTTTTTATCCTATTAACCTTTTTAGCCTCTTTTACCCGAAAAGCAATAGATTACTGATCTACAGATCATTGTATTTTAACTTTGTCCTGTTTTATAAAGGAATGAATTATCAGTTTTTACTCAAACAGTGCAATGATTCAAAGCATTCTAATTTTCCCTTTTTATGGACATTTTTAAGTATCTTTTAACTCATATCAACCCAACTTATATCCTCCCATTCAATTTATTCAGTATAACACCTTTTTGATCATCCTTACGTGCTCACTTAATGTACTCAGTATTACATCATTTTCATCATCCTTACATACTCCCCTTCAACACAGATGTCGTCCTCGACATCCCAACCAACAGATGGGTAATGATGAATGCAGTAAAAGGGTACATATGATGTCACCAGATCACCTTTGCATCAGTTTGTATACAAGCACTCAGCTTATTCAAAAGTCCAGGAGTGTAGTGTAGTGTAAATGTTAGCCCTCGGCTTGTCCCTTAGTCCATCATTGAGTGAAGAATGAACGTGTGTGTGTGTATTGTTAACACTCAGTACGTTAAACAGTCCATCCTTGAGTGTATGATGTTTGTGCATATGGGTAAGTGTTTTAAAACTCAGATTGTCCAAAAGTCCACCAATGAGTGTATAATGAGTGTGTGTGCGTTAACACTCAGAGAGTTCAAAGTCCACCAATGAATGTATAGTGAGTGTGTGGTGTTCGTGGGTTCCACATTCAGTACCCTGGTACAGCAACAGACTGGTAGTGAAATTGCTCTACTGGAGTCATCCATGTACTTCTCGCTTGCATGGCTCTATAGGGCGCTGGTGTGTACCAGTGCATGGCATTACTTGTGAGTTCGGTGCCGTAACAACCAGGATTGCCCAACTGGTCATACGTGAAGACTCTTGGAGGTCGTCTCTCCCTTATAGGTCGCTGGTATCGCTGGTCATGTCCACAGTGGGTTCCACTCTGTACAGGTGACTGCACTACAGATGTTCTCTCGTCCAGAGCAGTTTCCTCTTGAGCAACAATCTCCTGTTGTCCTGATGTGTCCCTCTCTGTCAGTGTATCTCCACTATCCTGACCCAGCTGGCAAATTTCCTTTTGCTGCGGCTCAGCATCCTGTGAAAGTTGTTCAACTTCGTTGTCAGCCTCCTGTCTGTCTGTGTCTACTTGGGGCTGTATCACAGGGAGAGGCTGATCCCTGGGCGGATAGTATCCATAGTCATCATCATCACTATCCTCAACGTCTGCTTCTTGGTGGTGTTGCTCTCTTCCTTTGCGGGTCCCTGCTGCGATTTGTCCTTTTGCTTTAGCTGGTTTCAATTGTATTTCCAGTGGCAAATGGTCACACGGCAACAGCAGGTTACGATGCAGTATCCTACGCCCTCTCGCTTTGCCTTGTTCTGGTATTACTTCATATATGGGCATGTCTTTTCCCACCTGACGGATAACTTTGTGAATGCAATCTTCCCAGTGGTTTCGGAGCTTCCCTGTTCCGCCCCTGGGTGTCAAATTCCTGACGAGAACCCGGTCACCCTCGTGCAATACAGAACTCCTCACTTTGCTGTCATGGTTTCTCTTACTCTTCTCAGCACATTTTTTTGTATTGGCCGTTGTGATCTCATACGCCTCTTGCATCTGTTCTTTCCATCTTCTCATATACTCCTGATGATCAGCAGTTCCAGCCTCTGGTGTCAAGCCAAATAATAAATCCACAGGTAATCTCGGTGATCTCCCAAACAGGAGGTAGAAAGGGAGAAAAACCTGTGACTTTGCATCGAGTGCTGTTGTATGCGTAAATAAGCTTGGGCAACGACTCTCTCCAATCTGACTTCTGCCTCTCGGTGAGCGTTCTCAGCATTTGCAGTAGTGTTCTGTTTAAGCGCTCCACCTGCCCATTGCCTTGTGGGTGGTTCGGTGTAGTTCTTGAGCCCATCACGCCACAGTTCTTCTTTAGCTGTGCAAACAACTAGTTTTCGAATTCTCCTCCCTGATCATGATGAATCCTCAGGGGGA